TCGTGTCAGAAGCTTAGCTAAATGTGAGCTGTTTACTGGCATCCGCAGCTTGTAATGAGGGACGTTTTACTGGACAAAGTGATGTATGTGGTGTTCCTTCCTCTTCAGCCGCCTGCTCCTCTCCACAGAGCCGTGCAGAGGGGCTGCATGGCTGACTTATGGGTCGAGACAGGAGACTGTTCGGCCTTTTATGTCCCTTAGGACGGCATCAATATATCACGCTTCTGCTGGCTCTTTAGATTTACAGCAACTTGTCATTAGAAGTTATTTGAGTGAGGTAGACTTCGGTTTCATAGCAGCGAACATGGCCTGCATGAATTTACATGTCTGAGTATGTATTGAGTCGTTTTTGTTTTACTGGTCAGCGGGCTTGTCATTTATTTTGGCTCCAGTCCTCTCTACGGTTCACAGTTGAGTCCCTTCATTGGTCCAAAAGTAAATGGAGACATTTGATTTACAGTGCAAGCCCCAACTTCATTTTCAAATCAAAGGGGATCATTTAACAGTTTTAGCCAAAGTGTCAGCCCTAAAATATGACCAATACGATTTTTTTTTGTTGGAAGCTGATATAAGTGCAGATTTACAGCCTTGGCCTTGCTAACGAAGGCCCTTAATGAGCAGCTCAAGCATCCACTTGTTTATGGAGCCGGCTGATTGACAGGCCAAGCAATGGAAAAATAAAATTGTGAATGAGGAATTGGATCTGTCCCCTCTTTGCTATATCAGCAGGGCCCTAATGCAGTGGGGTGAACTTTGAAGTGCCCTAATGGTCTTCATGGTCCTTTAACCATGCAGGCTTCTATTAAGGGTGTCAGTGGAGCCTGGCTGGAGCAGCGTGACCCATTAGATTTAATGAGTGCTGTTCAGGGCACAGTGGGCTGCTCTTCCTCCTTTCTGCGAGGGTTTCTTTATCTCCTCCACCTATGTTTCATACAGAAGGGGAGTGAAGAGGAAGGCAGGGGGAATGGCTCTTTAACTGGCGGTCCATTTTGTAATTTGGGTGCGTCTGATTGTATCAGTCCTGCGATGACCTGGAACCTCAGTCTGCGTCAGTCTGATGTTCTCACTGGGGACATGATGGGCGCCTAAGCAGTTTTTATGTACTTCTTATCATCTGTTGCTTGTTTGAATGAATGATATAAGAATGAAGTGATAATAACATGATATTGTTTTAAATTTCAACACTTACTCACAGCTATCTATCAGAGCACTTTCCTAACAAGTAGTAGTTAAAGCCTGACATTGCTAATTTCTCTGTGCCTTGGACTGTTCAAAACTTCTAAAAACACATCAGTACCTCACTCTCTTGCACCAGCTTATCAAGTGCTTTATTTCTATGAACAAAAGCCGTTTAAATACTGCTGAACCCCAATTTGCAGCTTAACATTTTCCCAACAAATGCACAATTGTGTCCAGCTATTTAGGGGGATTCGGAAAAGGTATTGAAAGAGGGACTAACTCGTATTTGATTTTGGTCTCTTCAAAAGATCTGTTCACAATAAGAAAAATACTAAACATTAATAGAAAAAGGTGTTTTTTTTTTTAAACAATCTTTTTCTATGTATGCAAAATGTTGACCTTTGTTATAAATATCCTGAAGGGTATAAAAGTGACAAAAGGCCATTGCATACAGAAATATGTTCGTATAAGTCTACACTGAAGCAGGTCCTCGTCGACCCCTTCACTGCAGTCCTATTGATCTCCAGTACGGGGGCTGAAGGCTTTAGTGGGTGACAGCAGACTTCTTTTCAGTTTTCCCTTTCTCATGCGATCAGAGTGCTCCAGTTCAACTCTTGCACAACTCTGGAAAAGACACCAATTGTTGCTGCGAGCGAGCAGAGATGGGAGCGCTCCAACATTCTTCGCAGGGCAGAGACCAAAGCAATGGCAAGATGTGAATTGGCACAGGTTTTTTTCCTGGCCATGCCTTCCCTTTGTCTCACGTGAGAGTTGTCCTAAGTTGTTGTGCCTTCTGTGGATGATATTTAGCAAACGTTTGAAATAAAGGGAGGATTGATTACAGACGTAGTTTTCGTTGTACACTTTTTGAAGTCATTAGAAGTGTTTTTCTGAGGACTGTTTTGTTGCATGACTGCGCTCGTTTTCAAAAACAAAGAACATCTTTGTGAAATTATGTTGAATACTGTATTGCATGACAGCTTTCTCTCGCCTCGGCCATAACTGCACTGTTAGCCAAAGACCACCTGGAGGTATTTAAGTCCCATTCAAACTATTAGGCTTAACTCTGGACTTAATGGCTTCGGCAGAGCATCCCATCTGGAAGCTGCTGATTCAAGAAAAAGAAATTGGACCGCATATCCACCTTCAAACACAGGCTCACATACACACACATAAATGTACTATATGCATGTTTCTATCAGTCATTGATACCTTACATTTCTATAGTTTGCTAATGCACGTTGGTCGTATTGAGTTCTTTAAGTCATTGTTTATCAGTCTTGCTTTGTATTTTTAAAAGGATAATTTGACCTTTTTGGAAATAATCTGCTATCTTGTCATGTTAGGATTTGTAAAAATGACACATTGTACTCTAACTTGTTAGTTTTCCCAAATTATTGAACTAATCCTTAAGTTCTAACACTCAGACTGTGTCCGAATATTAATCGATTTTTACTGTATTGTTCCTTTTATTTATTCTTCACATTTGATTTAAGTGACCTAAATCTTTTATTTTAGGACGCTAAACTTTTGCTACCCTAACCATCCCAGAATGCAATGTTTCACATTTTATAGATACTTGTGTGACACTACAACAGTCAGCGATGACACAAAGTTGTCTGGAATATTGGTTTACTACTGTCTTAGTGTTTAATACATCTGAAGTATGACAGAGTCTGTTAAGACTTTGTGGGCGTGGTTTGATTCAATTTGGTTTAAAGTGGGCTGAAAAAAGACAAAACAACTGACCAAGCAATATCAGAATTTGGGGTTGAGTCGTCATACAGTGAACTGGTGAACAACATATTTGTCTATGAAGAGGACGACAACACAGACAAAATCAGAGAACTAAATATGGACTTCCGAAGGAGAGCCCCCCACCCTCTCTGCAGCCTCTCACCATCAACAGGACTGAGGTGGAACAAACCGACATTCACAAGTTTCTAGACCGTCACATGACAGAAAACCTGAGCTCAGCTTAAAACTCTTGCAACCGTAAATAAAGTGCTGCTGCAATTCTTTTCATCACAGTGCTGAAGACGGACAGAGGTAACGTCAGCCCCTCACCCTACAGTGGACTCATTGAGAGGCCTGCCGTGTGGTTTGGAAACACCACGCAGGCCCAGAGAAAATCCCTTCAACGTGCCATCAAAACCGCAGAGAGGATCATCTGCCCCACAGACACACTGCAGGAGGAACGCACAGAGCGTCCTCAGTGAGCGACGCCACCCAGCTCTCTCTCTGCTCAGGTGGAACAAGTCAGAAAATGACTTAAGACACAAACAGGACGAGAGCATCCCCACCTACAAAGCACGCTTTTTTCCAGACTGTCAGGCTGAGAATACAAGATTTTACTGTAAATCTGCTTAATTCATTGTTTTGACCAGTTTTAATCACCACTGACTGCAATGACGGCAGTGATGGAAAAGACAACAACTCCCATGATCCCACCTCAATGTCATGATTGCACTCTTAATGTATATCGTTGTAGTTTTGGTTTGGTTTGTTTTTTAAATTGTTGTGTATTTTTATTCAATCACAGTACTTTCAAAATGTTATCACAATGTATGAAATGCAGAAAGATGTTGAGTATTTGACACAAAAATGTAATTTGAACAGTATATTGTGATGATCATGTATGACTTTAGATGTTACAGTAGGTAACTGAGAAAGTTGGAAGAAGAGAAGAGATCTGAACTCATTCAAACATTGGAGATTCATTTATTTGGAAATCGCTTTAAAACCAAAATCAACAGAAACAGCAAGTTACTTCTGTACAGACACACGTCAGACACCTTGAACAGATGTTAATGAAACTGTTCATGGTGCTAGTATATGGACGGCCTTAGGAGACAATTCAAACATTAAAAAGAAAAACTCCAACACTGTAAGTGCAATAACTTATTGCAATGGCACATTATATAAAGTCACAATCAGAAGTAGAAATACTTGATTAATATACAAAAAGCTGCTTAAAGCCATAAGAAAATTAGAAAGCAATTTCGACCTTGGTAAAAGTCCAGAGCAACTCTTAAGATTAACACACAAAACTTATTTTTACATTTCTTGGCAATATTACTGTAATACTTCAATGGTTTATCTCTGGAGGTCCATTATTTGACAAATAAGCAAAACAAATGTACACGCAAAAGAACAATATCATTTATATTGTTCACATTCTCACAACATTATAACTATGGATTTCAATTGCTTTATTTCAGTAGTATCAACACGGACGGAGCTGCAGAGGAGTGGAGCGCTGAGGGCCGGCCAGCCAGAAGACCAACTCCACAAAGTAGGAATCGTTTATTTGACCACATCCTGTTTTTATCTTAAACATCTCTCTGATAATGTTTTGATTTTGAGTCGTCACATCGAACAAAGCCTTTATCAATTCATGGATTCAAATATTTAATTTTAATGGACTTCGTTTTTTCAGATGATGCAATTTTTTTTATTCTGCTAATAAACCCTCTGTGGAAATGACATTAACCGCATGAACACTAATGTTATAATAACCATTGTGTTGTCACCAAATGTACTAACTGTTGACAGAAAAGAGCTTAATTTGAAGGCAACAACAATACATTTGATCACTGGATGATATAAGTTATCTAGAAAATAAAAAAATCCTTTGAAAAAAAGGAGGCACCGTAGAGCTGCAATAAAGGGGCTACAGAAAATGTATAAACAACAATATTTATAATAATTTTAAATAATCTTACAAGCAAAAAGGGGAAATGTTCTCTGGTTCCAACCTTTCACGTTGTGGCTGCTTTTTTTTGGGGGGGGGGGGGGTTGGTGCAACAAAATAATATTTGAAGATGTCCCCTCTTGTATTTAATAGATTTGGATAAAATGTAATTATTCACTGTTTATCTGGCGTTTTATAGACCAAACTGTCAATGGTTGAAATACCTACATTTAATCTATACTAATAATAGTCGTTGGACGCAATCCTACTTTCATGCATAAGGGCACTCGTATGTTAAAATGATCAACCACCTCTGAGGAGCAGAACCAGACTCTCTTGCCATCATGCTGCCGGGGAAAGGAAACGGATATGTAGCCAAGCGGGCATCACACAGAGATCAGCCAAAAGACTAATGAAGCCTGTCTCTAGCCTCAGCCTGCAGCCCAGCTCTGGTCACAAGCGTATTCCTGCGGGGTAACGCACAGAGACACCCATGCAATCACGGGACATATCCACCACATTCCTGCAGCCCGGCTCTAAAGTCATCACATTACCTAAACATTGCAGAATGCCGTTGATGCAGACCTGCCGTCTCTGGCATGTGACGAATCTGTGAGCGAGCCACAAATCCAAGAGTCATCTCTGCTGAGCCCTCGTCTGAGCATGACTTGATTGTTACAGCGTATTGACCTGTGTGTGCAGTGTGTCCTCACTGTGATGTACTACCGCTTACTTTGAGGCTAATTAAGTGTGTCTATTCCTGTTGGTGGCTGATTGAAGCTGGCGTAGCTAGTTGGTGTTGAAGGCTGCTGCTGTGCGTTGCTGTGCCTCGTCTGCCAGTGGAGACGGTGTTTCCTGTAACCTGAGGCCCGGGCCTAGCGGGGGAACCTGTGCAGGCAGCCCTGGGGGAGGAAATGACACGTTGGTTTGAAACTGCTGCCAATCCAGTGCCTGCCCTCCTCCCAGAATAAATTGGCACAGGCCATGTCTGCTCTCACTCAGTTAGTCTCTGTTACCTTACTGCATTCAACCTCTGTCCTTCTTTACAGGCAAATAAACTACCCGGTGGAGCCTTAGAAAACTTTTGAAGTTTCTTATAAACCAATTATTGGATGCAATGGAAAGTGACAGAAAAGTAGCTCTTAACATCTTGGTGTTCATCTGAGCTTGGCCTTGTTTTTGAATGGCTTTTAAAAACACAACTTCAGATATGTACTTGAACTCATTTATAAAAGTTATTATAAAGTATAACAAACAAAATGACTGGGGCAGGATGGGTGGTATAAACAATAAGGAACTTAATAACATAAGCTTAGTTATTAATTTATAATACTGCAGATATGACTGGCTTTGGCACTGAATTTCTGTATTTCTATTAACAAATCCTGTAAACCATATTTATTATATTGCTTATTCTGAATTTCTGAATGATACCCAGTTTATCAGGGACTAAACCCCATATTTCAATGAGACCTGAGAAATCAAGGAATCAAGAATGAACACAAACATCTTCTTCTTCGTCACACCTCTGGATTTCTCTCACTTTCAGTATCTGCGGACTGTCACAGTCACAGTTGTTATCTTGGTTGCGTTGGCTGCTGTAATGGCCTCGGTTATCTCCACAGTCTCCCCCCTGTTCATTTGACCTGCGTTATCATTTAGTGCTCTCAGGAAAACTCCCTCCTCCCCCACGCTGATGGCTGCTCCAGAGAAGAGGGCCAATGGGGGCTGGGTGGACTTGGGCTGAGACATCATGTCGCCCAAGAGATGGCTGCACTGTGTTCCTTGGCCTTCATACGCAGCGCAGCTATGCTGGAAGACTTGCGGTCTGGATCAAGATTAAGATCATAGCCATTGATTCCCCCGCTCATCCCGGCCCCTCCAAAAAGGTTGCCCATATGCGTCTGTCCCATGTGGCTGCTCCCTGGACTGGGCACGCCCAGGAAGTCAGAGACGCCTCCAGGACCGTGAGGGTGAGGCGGCATGCAGGAGGGCACGGTGTCGCAAGGCACCACGCAACCTGGCAATGGAGAGGCCCCGCTGCTGCCGATCCACGAAGGGTTCTGGATCTGGAGGGGGAGAGCAGGGATTATGATCAAGATCACATGTCAATTGGTCTTTTGGAGGGAAAAACTGAGAATCTGCACCTGAATCTGCATCTTTACCCCTTTTCAGTAGCATTATAGCAAGTTTCATCTTAATGTTGAGCTACCCAGCACACAACTTTAATATTGTAGTTCATTCTGCTCTCATAGTGTTTCTGTCACTGTGTTCAATAGAAAAGCTCTAATAACTCGATATACATCACCTGCTCGGCACCAAAACACAGTTAGCAACTTTTACAGGCTGTTTTGTGCATTTAAAGATGCTATTTTGCATTTATTGGCTAGTAGGGAGGAGACGACAGCATAGAGCTGCCTGTTAGCCCGGAACTTGGGTTGTTTGGGTTGCGGACTTAGTAAATGGGTTGGCTTCTCTAAGAAGTGAGATAATGTTGTGTCCTTAGTGAGTATTTAGTGGCGCATTTAGCAAGAGTCCAATATTCAATATAGAAACCAGTTAATATTGGACTTATACTCACCAGATTGCTAACAAATTTGCCCTATACATGTAAAATATGATGCTTTTGTCAATGTTGTTTTCATAATTTGTTTCAGCTGCCTCTAGGTGGCCAGAAATATCTGTTATTTGGGGTTTAATTTGTACCTGAGCGTAGTTCTCGGGCCGGGTCAGTAGAGGCAGCTCGTAAGCAGTAGAGAAGTGAGTCCGGACTTGCTGCATCTGACCGTAACGCTCCCTCTTCCTCCACTTGGCTCTGCGATTCTGAAACCACACCTGCAAGAAAACAATCCAACAGTCAAACTTCAGACCGGCCACTACCAAACAATGTTTTATTAAACATTAAACACATCTCTCATATCTCACATCACGTGCGAACACAAGTACTTTTTTCTATTTGCAGAGTCAAAGCTATCCTCTTCCCCTCAGCAAGACAAAGTAAGAGACTGAGCCACATAAAATAAAGATAGTGAAGCAAATAAATTCTGCTGCACATGAAAGTCCATGCCCAGGTTTTAAGACTTGACGTGTCTTTAAAGTGCCGTCCACATGGTGCAATTGATGTGAAAATGGTGCGTCTCCCCTGGTGCTGCACGGATCCGCTCCTCCCTTTGATACGCAGGCGTCTGCCTCCCTTCAGGCTGCCAGCGTCGACAGATCCACATCTGGGCCTGTAGCCATTCATAAATCACTCTGAGAGAGGTGTGCTCTCCCCCACATGTCAGCACAGTGGGATACAGTGGGGAATCCCTCTTCATAATCTATGAAACCAAAGTTCAACTTTTGACCAAGAATATATATTTTTTTGTCCGTCTTTTGAGATTATAAAGTACTGGATGCGGTTTATGAAGTATGTTGCTCTTCTGCAGAAGGTTGTGGGCTGCTTTCAGTACCTGCTGACAGACCAGGTGCAGGTATTTTAAGAACATTGCTCCCTAACTGTGGAAGGCAGTGCATGAAAGCAAGAATAAATGGTGAAAGAAGGAGTGATACGAGATTAATTGTGTATCCCAAGAGAAACACACTGAAATATTTTTACTGCGGTCTCGGTATTCTCCATCCATGCTGTGTAATGTCATTTACTATGCTCTTTATGTGCACTCCGTATGTGCACACGTCATCTGTTGTACGCTGTCCTGAAAGTTTGTTGGGGAAGTTTGCATTTCTATGGTTTAAGTAGAGGGTTTCTTATGATGTAAAGAAGGTTAATCCTTTTGAGACAAATGTGCTGCTTTGGCAGAAACAACAGAACAAAATAGATTTGACTAAGATGAAAAGGAGCCTCAGTGACATTATAAGCTTTTGGATATTTATATAGATATCTATAGATATTTAACCAGCTTGTAAACAATGCATTTCTTTGCCATTTATTTAGTTTCCGTTATGCTTTGTGTCGAATGCTCTGTATTGTTTCAATTTCAGTTATTTGTACAACTAAGTGGCCAAACATGACTGTTATGCTTTAGAGTTGCAAAAATCCTTATTCAATTATCTGTAGAGAACATTTTGAATTTTTAGCAAAAATGAACATTCGATTGTTCCAACCTCTGAAATATGAGAGTTTGCTGCTTTTTCCTTGAGGCCAGGAGCCGCTTTTATGTATATCCTCCTTTCCTTAGCATGCATCTCTACTGTTCCTTTATATAATAAGTTATACGTTTTTGCTAAGCTTTTTTTCTACAAAGTTTTCTCACAAACCTATAAAGGCGAATAGAGGAACTAAGGGGGGTACTGGACGTCTCCACATGTTTATTTGTACGTATTTGTTGGTTGTCTGAATCTTATCCTCCCAAGAGGGAAAGGGAAACTTCTTCAAAGAGAAAAGAGAGAGCGATCCTGCCTCGACTCAGGGGTTTTAACTTGGGATTGTGGGTTGATTCCCAGCCCAATCAGCTTGTGGTTTTCACAGTCCTGACATGCAATTTCCCCTCAGTCAACCTCCTCAAATCCCCCCCCCGTCGCTCTTTTTTCTCTCTCACCATTTCTCCCAATCAAGTTAAACACAATGGAGTCAAGTGACAAACATGAGCAATGTCGCACAAAGATATGATCCCATTTTGAGTTTCTCTTACTGAGCAGGAGAGAATTTTTATGAAATTGGATAATAACAACTTTAAGTGCCACAACATGCACACAAACCTCAATTTTCTTGACTGGAAGTAAATATTTAGCTGGGTCATTTTCAAAGGAAGTACCATATATCGCCTCCACAAAGCCGCTGACTGTTTTTGCAAGAAGGTGACTTATAGAAATGTCGTCCGACTCCGACATTCCTCGGGTCAGCTGGTGAGATTAGAGGACAGCTCACGCCTGAAAAGTGGTAAACTGATATCCGAGGTTGTGGCTGAACCCCAATGTCAAGGTGAGGGGTTGTTGCCTTTTGAATTATATCATATGTTTGGAGGGGGGTTCACAGTCTGTGATGCTCCCTTGAGGATTTGGGGGTCTATTATTGTTTGAGGTTTAGTCATGTATTTCCTTTGGTTCTTCATCAGTAATGTGAGCTCATAACATCACAGGTTTCTAAATATAATCCTCAACACAAAGGGCCGTGTTGAGAGTGATTAATGCAAAACTCACCAACAGTTGTTTTTAGTATTAGGAGGGTTTGATTTGTCAGAGGTTCATGTAGCCTCTAATGTTTTACTATTGCTTTTAAGACAGATTTTAGCATCTTATTTTCCCCCCAAAAAAAACAGCAACATTTGAAAAGTCATTTAAAAACAAAACAATCCTCAAAGATATCTTTTTTGTATCATGTTTCCGAAGTCCACCTCTTTTTCCTAATCCAAACAAAGATAGTAGCCTTGCTAAATTTGTTCAAAAGTGTAACCTTTTATTATAAAATATTGAGATTTATTTTACATTAATATTCTTAAACAAAATAAAGATATTTTTGTGCACTTTTCTGCCTGCCAAAAAAGGCATGGACTAATGTTATAAGCCATTGTTAACCAATCAGAAGTGGCCCATGATAGAAGGTGATAGACAGATTGATCCAATCACCTGCCAAGTATTTTTGAAAGTGCCTGCCCTTTTCCAAATGGCTTCCAATGGAGCTTTCCTAGATGGTTTGGTGAAACAAAGCATCTGAGTCAGGTTAGTAATGCTCCATCACATGTTTTACATCTATTACAGCGTGAATCTTAAACTGAAGCTTGACTTTAAAGCAACCCAACGGAAGTTTCATGTAAGTTTAGTTCACTCGTAGCTCGGGCTGCGGGGGTGCTAGAGACGGGAGCACGTTGATGCGACCTTCCTAGCCGGAGATATGTCCGCATTTTACAATAAACTTCCGTTGGGTCGCTTAAAAACAAATATCGCAAATCGAATCGCAATCGCAATATTTGTCAGAAAAATCGCAATTAGATTTTTTTTCCCAAAATCGTGCAGCCCTATATCGGACTTCCTAAATACACCTCAGGAAGTGTATTTATTGTTTTGTGTATTGTATTGTGTAGCTGATGGAGTATTTTTTATATTCAGTCTTTTAGGATTCTGAATTCAGTGGTTAGTGTTTTTTAAAAGTGTCAAAGATCACCAGGAAATCAGTAAAAAGTAATTAGCTCTGTGACTCCAATGAAATGGTAATACATGAAAGGCACAAACTGTGGATAAAGTAAAATGTCGGTAAGATTCATGTACATTTACAAGTATTTAAAAGCTGCTCCACTCTTCTTTTTAATGAAAGTGTTATCAGTTACCGAGCTGTCCTCTTAATTGTGATGGACCGTGATAAACCAACTTTACTCCTTTACTCCTAATCTCTTTGTCGTACTCCCACCTCTCTGTTGAAGCTCTTTCTCTCCCCCTCCAGCCCCTCCCCCAACACACCGCCGACCCTTCGCTCCATGTCTCTCTCCTCCCTCCTCCCTTTTAAGTCAGCGAGGGGAAGTGGGGATATTTGAAAGTGAGATGGGAGAATGTTCAAACTGGAGCTTGTTTTCATTTCATGTTTAATTTCCTGACGCCTAAGCCCTTGGCTTTCCGCAGCTAACCCCTCTGACCTTTGGGAGGCGTGCAGACGAGAGCAGTGGACCCAGCACACAGACACTCACAGAAAACACATGCATGTACCTTGTTATATATACATACGATTCAAAGTCAGTCACTTGCAAATGTGTTCTTTTAACGTGGACACTCACACACTTACTGGAGCCTTTTATAAACAAGGAAACAATGTTTGAGGTCATACATGGCCCTTGTCTTGGTTTCTGGTATACCGAGTGTGTCATGTTTCACAGAGGGTTTGCTCTACGTAGCTTTGCCTTTGAACAGCAGTCTGAATGAGGCTCAAGCCAAATAGTTTGGCAGGAAGATCATTCGAGGAACATTATGAAGTCAGATGTGTCCTCTGTGGCTCTGCGTCTCTTATTCCCCGACTTCTAAGTTCATTAGAAAAGAAAGCTAGGATTTCTTTTCACAAGCAGAAATTAAATTAACACAAAATCATTATTTTTCGCATAATATTAAATGCTGATGCATCCTACATTTGAAGCCCAAAAGGATATTTACCAACCGCAAACACTTACTGCTCTTCTTTATTTTATCTAGCGGACATCTGCAAGGAAGGTGGCTCAGAGCTCTTCGGAGCTCAAAGTGCTTGGCGGTGATACAGTAATTGCTAAAGACGTTGACAGCAAAAGGCAGCTTACAGAGCCATTAAAGAGCTTTATTTATGCTCCAGAGCCAGCAGGCGGAGAAAGAAAGGAAGAGGGAGAGAGGGAGGGCAGAGTGCACAACTCCAAAAGCAGCTTTGAAGTCCAGCCGTCTCACCTCATCTCTGTCATCCAGGACCAAGGCGATTGATAGACTGCCTCCGCAGTCACTCACACAGTCTCCCTCTCGAAAGAAAGTAGGCAGTGTGGTGAAGTTCAGGTCTGAGGTTGAGAGCTAATTGTACTAAATAAACTAGTGGCAGCAAAAGTCACAGATGTGATTATGGAAAAATGCAGCCCGACTTTATGAAGACATTTATCATCAAACTCAGGATGAAACTGTAGGACCTTGACACTGGCATTTTGGCAGAAAACATCTGTATTTGAATGGCTGTTGTTATGAAGATGAAAAGGATTCTCCAATCGCTTGCCAAGCTTCGAGTGCCCCTTGGTATTCAACAATTGGATATCCCTGGACTTTGTCTTGATAGACCTTCGGTTGAAATTGTGGGGTTTAGTCTTGATTGCGTACATATTTAGGTTCTGATTTTAAAAGTATGGGTCAAACCTCACAGGGACTCAACAGAGTCTGCTGTGGGCCTGTCCTATGAGGAAGTTAATTACATTCATCTGGGGAATAGATGGGTCTGTGCGAACGCAACATGAATGTACTTATTTTACTGTACCACCGCGAGGACCAGACCAGGTTCTCTGTCCCTGACTATGTCTTGGTCCAGGCTGGGAAATTGAAAGTGGCATCTCAAAGTGTTTTTTACATCCTCGCCAATAGCTTTGATGACTCTTTTTTTCTCTGCATGTGTTTTCCCCTCCCTGCCTGAAGAGTTGTGCGGTGAAGTATTTTGAACATGGTAGTGCTGGGGAGAAACCCTTGGCCTCTGACCTTTCAGCAGAGTCTGCAGCATGTAAGAGCTAAGAGCAGAATATTCCCTCAGTCCCACCCATCCCACTCTGATCTACAACTGGCAGGCAGAAAGAGAGAGGAAGAACAATAGGCCTCGCTGTCTGCAGCTCTGAAGAATCTCTGTCAACATGCCAGTCTTAACTCTTCCAGCCCTCTTTGTCATTTCCCTGAGTGGTTATTAGCACGCAACATTAATAACTACAATCCTTCAACATAGCTCGTGGAGACCGTCCTCTCAAGAAGGAACAACACTATTTGTTGTTTAACCAAATGCCCCAAAATGACTTACTATACCATGTCCAAAGTGACAAAGCTCTTGAGTGACTGTAGTAATTTTGATGATATCAAAGGAGGAAATCAGACCGTTATACAGTACACTGGGGCCGGGGGGGATGGACTTGTGAAACCGCTGTTTGTTTTTTGTTTGTTTTTCAAGCATGATGCAGTTTGTCCTATTCCTTAACAACATGTGTTATGGTAATTATTGTAACCATGACAGCAAATCTCCTCTAACTTTAACAACGTAGTAACTTTTAACCCAAACCACCGTGTTTCCATGATTCTTATCAATGTGTGTTTGTGCCTAAACCTAACCAAAATGTAATCATAGCATTTTCACATCATCAACATTCAACAGATTTGTTCTAAAAAGTTATTTGGAATGATTTTGTTTTTAGAAGATCAGAAACCTTCTCATTTAAGAGGACATATTTAAATGACATCTTTTGTTTTTGAACTTGGGGGACTTGTTGGCTTTAATCAATGCAGTGTAACCTGATGTTCTCACCTGCACACGAGCCTCCGTCAGATCTGTCCTCAGTGCCAGCTGCTCGCGGGCATAAACATCTGGGTAGTGTGTCTTCTGGAAAACCTTCTCCAGCTCCTCCAGCTGGTAGCTGGTGAACGTGGTGCGATTGCGTCTCTTCTTGCCTTTGTTGCTCTCCACCTCACTTTTGTCCAGAGGGCTGGAAAAGTCCGATCCCGGCCGCTCGTTCAGCCCCTTCTCGCCCGGCGCCTTCAGGTTCAGGTAGCTGCCCTCCATCCCGGGAGGGTCGCCGCTTGGGGCTAACTCGGACTCTGTTAGGCCGCTGTTGTCTTTTCCTGTAAATATGAGATAGATAAATACTCAAAAAGAACGTGTGGAACGTTACAATCAAATGTCATTTGTTCTCTTATTTTTACACATGAAGTTTAGTTTACAAGTTTGACCATTGTTTGAAAAGAATTGCCTCACATTGGACTCTAGACTTCCTATTTTACCAACTGAAGGTGTGTGGTTTAAAAGTAGCGGCTTTAATGAATGGCGCTGTATGTTTGCCTTGTTGTAAATTAAGGATTTAGGGTTTCTGGAGTTTGACCTTTGCTAGAAAATGAAAGTCAGGACATTCAGTCTCTGTTTCAAAGGTCTTGATCTGTATGGAGTACTTCACTGAAGAGCCGCTTTAAGTATTTGATGTGGATTGACAGTACTGCTCTGAAAGTTCAGACCAGACACTGGAGATGTGAAAGTTTAGTTGTGACACTGTTTCAAATAGAAAATAAACCTTTGAGCAGTTTCAGTTAAAGTGTGACTAATTCCAATCGTATGACTCAACCAAAACAACCGTTGCAGTTTAAGTGTGGCTTCAGATGCAACACAAAACATATTTATTCTGTAATATTATTATTTTAAAACAAGCTATTAGAACCAACGTTTTTACAGCTGATAGAATAAAGCCACATGTTATAGTGCTATAATCATAGTTGCTACTCTATAATCAAACTCTTCAGCAGAGCCACCCTTTCTTTAAAAAGTGACTGAATAAAACTGTGGTGCCTCACGTTGAAGCCAGGGAGTGTGTCTGCTCATCATCACATTACAACATCCCCACAAGATGACATTCACTTAAAGCTTACATCACCTCTGTTATGTCTTACTTTAAGGTTCAAAAGCCCTGTCTGTTTGCAACAAGAAAATAAATGCTATTTCTGTTTGAAAGCTATGTCACTACACATTGGCGTGACCTGTGACACAACCCTTGAAGCCCTCTCCCTCACATCTCTCAATCACGCCACCTGAAACCCGAGCCACGCCAAAACCCGCTCCATCTCGAGCCGTGTATGGCGGGCCTTGTGTACGACTGCCTGTGCCCCGCAGCCTTGCCCCTGAGATGTAAACAACATTGTGTTTGTCACCTTCAATTTCGAGAGAGTCCATTTTGTGACAGACCTTACTCTGTTCCTGTCAGCCCTTGCTAGCTTTTTTGTTTCCTTTTAGGAGATGAAGAAAGCTGTCCCTTCTCCTTCAATAAACAAACAGCTGTATGAATAAATAAGCTGAAGGGGTCTGGTTGCGGGCCAGTGAGAATAGTGTGCTCTGTCAGCCTCTCTGTTTGCCTTTCCTGCGACTGGGCACTGGGAGCGCCTGTCCTAACTGTGTTGGTCCCAGACCAGCACATAATGGTCTTCTACATAAACTGACTGCAATTATTGCGCAACAACAGCATTACTTTATTCTAAAAACATTTGTCTTCTATCAAGTTGAGGATAATTAACTTAATAGTTAGGCATTTTACTTTGTCGCTTTGCATTTTTGTTAAGAGTGATGTCAGTAATGTCCTGCTGTCACTCTCAGAAACGCAGCGCAGCGAGGGAAAGAGAGCTGACACCTTGTGGCGCTGGTGACTCTCAGAGCCAAGTGATTTAGTGGTTAGTAAGACGACTGAATAGTTTTAGAGTGATGAAGCTAGGCGGTGGCTGTCTGCAGCGTGCCTGTTTGTTTTCATGGATTACTATGCCTTTGGCTACGTGTTCCACAATGGGATGTCAATAGTCATCCTCTCGATGCCGCAGCAGCCCCCCCCCCCCCTGCTCTCCGGCTCAGACTTGCCCCGATAGAGACGCTAATGGAACAACACAGCTCGCCCAGCTGGAGTTCATGACCTCATATCGTTGTGGCCCACCTGTCAGACCCTCTTACAGTCTCCACGCAGGCAGATGTACTGACATCACCTTCTACCCCTGCACTGGCCTCTAATGCTGGAGCACCGTGCAATATTTTCTTTTCACCCCTGGGCAGGAGCATGCAATGTTAAGAAATAATACAGGTCAACTCCAGGTTCCTGCTTAGCATGTGCATCTGGGAGAGAAAATGCAGTCATGCCCCTGAGCAAGGCATATATCCTGTGGGGGGAAGATGGTGGGATAGATGTTGCAAAGGTTTGAAGTTGGAACCTGCATTGTTACGTTTAATGGAATTGTTTGACATTTTAGGAAATACACTTGGATGGATGAGAATAATTATACCACTTTAATGTTAGTAGAGTGAATATGAAAGCTACTTTGAGCAACTGTTTACTAGCTTAGCATAAATAGCTGACAATTTCCAATTGTGTCATTATGTGACTATTTATAATCGATTTAGAAAAAAAGTTTGGCACGTAACCCACAATAAAAACTGTAATGAAGTTCAATCAACAAGACATAAATTGTTAATTGGTGAGTTTTAGAGGTACTGGTAGTCAGAATTTGTTATATTTACACCGAGCCAGACTAGCGTTTCCCCCAGTTTCAGTCTTTGTTCTAAGCTAAGCAGCTTCATATACATTATCAAGAGTGGTTTCAAAAGTCTAAACAATTTAAACTTTTTCTTTATGGTTCTCAGTCTTATACAGGCTTTCTGTATGTCACCACAATGAAGAATCTACTTTGCTCTAATCAACATCTTTCCTAGTACTCCAAAATCTATCTTTCTCTGTCACGCTAACAACACAGTCCTTTGCCACAAACATCTTCCAGTAACTCGCATGCTGAGCTGTCTTTTCTGCACGCTGTTCTGGAAAACATAGCCATCACACACTTTCTTTTGGAGCCAAGATTCCACTGCATTGGCTCCATTTTTTTTTGGCATTCAGAGGAATGTGTTTTTGACTGTTCTAATTTCAGTATTCGTCAATGTACTGTATATATAAATGCAGTGAATGCCACTGGCTGATCCTGCAATTTGCCAAAGTTACTCTGTGACAAGCTGCAGATCTCTTCAGTTAGCCGAGGTCAGATGTTTACTAGGGTCAGCAATTTAATCACTGCTGAAAACAGAGAGAAAACATCAAAGTGTAATTTAACTGGTTGTAAAGCAACAGGGCACCCTCTCAGTTTTTATGGAATGGGACGGGGAGGGTCAAGTGAAGCCAAATAAAAGAAACACTATAAATTAGTAACCTGGGGAAGGGTTAATGACCAAACACTAAATAGGGAAGGGAATGCTTTTAAACAGAGTGCTCCAAAATGTTCTCTCAAAACACTGGAGGCTGGCAGGAGTCTGCCACTATGGCTCTCCACTTATCACACCTTATATGGAGCAAATAAAGTCAAATATTGGCTTTGGTGGCAATCAATTTTATATTCATTGCTGGTTCGCAGACACGCTTAGGGCTGGATTATTTTTCCCGGAGCACAGTCCTGATGTTGACTGTTGTTTCCTCAGAGAAAGGGAGGCTCCCAGATGTTCCTGAGGAGAGATCTATGCCAGCGGCTCACGCAGGAATGCAGATTCCCTGGGAAACCAAAAGATCTCTCTGCTCAGCCTCAGCTCCTGAAATATTGACACAATCATGACCTCACTACTGTCAGAATACCTTGGTATACCTGTCACTGTCTCATATCAAAAAGCTCAAAAATAGTTTGAGATTCGTTTTTTTTATGGAAGGGAAAACAAACTTGTAAAGCATCTTGATAAAATTATAAATTGAAAAAAGCTTTAATTTTAAAAGTTGTTTAAGTGTTTGCAGCATGCCAAAATTAATACATTTCATATTTCAAGGAGTTTGTCCTTGAAATATGACATTATTTACTTTTATTTTTACTGTCCTAAGAAAAAACATTAACCTTTAAGGTGGGGATTAAATTAAATGATTACTATCATTATTATTATTTCTAATATATAATAATATAGCTTAAATGTGGTGTTAAACATTAAGTACAAAAAGGGGCATCAAATGACTGGAATGAAGAAATGAGAATGACAAGGAATTTAAATCAAACTAATTATACATGATGTAATTAATCACGTGTTAGTCTCTCCCTGTCTGTTTTCATGAATTGGTTCATGACCACATTCATACTGTCTTGAATCCCAGATGTATGAGGTATTTCTATGTCTTTTCTTCATAGAGAAGCATAAAGAAAGTTTGTGGTGCAGGCGTTGTCACACGATGATGACTTGGGTTACTTTTCACCCCTTGCTTTAATTAGAAACAAGCTAAATGTGCCGTTTCCCTCTGCTGAAAGCAAGCTGAAAAGCAAGCTGAGAAAGAGAACTATTGTAGTGATGGACCAAAAAGGGATTATAATGCTTCTGTGTTGCCCAATTGTTTCTAGTATTGTCTGTGTTGGCTTTTTAGAGTTCACATTTTGTGACAAAAAGTAAAATGTGTTTTTTGTCCATATAACATAGTACTGTGTGACCAAACGTTTGCATTATTCAAGAACTCCTGCAGAGGTCAGATTAGGTCATTTATAAGAATCTAGGAAGGAAAGGTAAAGAACCAGCGCATAGCCTCAACGTGAAATGAACAGCTCAAAATGTGCGCCAGCTGGTTAAAGTTCTCAGGTAGGGCATGAGAGACACATTTTTGAGTGGAAATATGAGGCGTTTTAAGACTTACAGTAAATGTCTTTTCATTCAGTGGAAGTCAGGTTTTTTGCAGCTCACACATTTGTACAAACCCTTACATTTACACAAGCCAGAATTCATCTTTGCAAGCTTTCTCATTATATATTCTAATTTATTCTGGTTCACAGACTCTCGCGGCATGATCACAGGTGTCATTCATACTTTAACATGGACACAATGTGTTAGTCATCAGTACATGCATATCCTGTGACATCACTTCCCCGAGCTATTTAACATGTAGAGTACTGTATTTTGACAGGAGGCTTTTCATTGGCTGCCAGGACTTTTTGTGTGTCTTGTTTTGGTTTTCATATGCAGAGAAAATTGTTTTACATATCACAGGATGCTTCAAATCCTGCTGAAGGGAGGAGGGGTTATTTTAAAACTTAAAAAATGTACAAAGCTGTATGTTATAAATGTTATTTTGTAAGAAGACAGAGGATGAGACAAAAAGCCTTTAGTGAACACCAGTGCTTCCACAAACATTGCATTGTACATCAGCAATGCAGAGCTCAACCTCAGTGTCAACTACAGGCCTGAAAGCACCATTATCTCTACTTTTCAGATGTTTCCCTAGATGCCCTTACGTTCTTTCAAATTAATAAAGAAAATGTAATAATATTTTCATTATATGTTAGTGTTTACAAAACTAGGGTACCTCTGTGGCAGAAAGCAATAATGGTTTAAAATGATGAAGCAAAAAAGACTATTTCATGCAATGAATGTCAGAGCGATATATTTCAGTAAAGCACTTTAGCTTGTAAACAGTTATTCCCACACGTGTGCGAAACCCTCTCATTTCTTCCGAGGCCCTCAAATCATTACCCAATCTCGATGTCCATTTCTGACACATTGCTTATTTATACTAGGTATTGTTGAGACGGGGTTATATAAACCAGCCCCACTTTGTCATCTCAGGGACCCTCTGTATGGCTTTTGAGATCTGATGTTTGGGGAGTATGAATAATAACTATAGGAGCCAGTAATGCGCATCTGCCTCAGATTAATGCAGAGCTCTCCTGCAGGGCTGACCTGCATTCCTCAGCTCTCGATCAGCTCCGGGGGTTTTATTTCATTCATCGCTGTGTGAGCAGGTAGACGACTCCATCCCTGCTGTCGCCATGGGACAGTCCCTGATTAAAATGTACTGACGGAAACAAACCCGCCAACCTGAGCCACTACTGTGCAGAAATACGTTCATTCACTCTCTCATAGACTCTAGTCATTTAAAAGTTAGGTAGGCAGTAATCTGCACAAAACTACATCAATATTGTAAAACAATAGTAGGTGATTTTAGAGATCCAAAATATCTTAATATGTATTTTGGAATCACTTTTAAGCCCTTAGATTTAAAACTGTTTTTCTACAGCTGAATCATGTGAAATCAGAAAAAAAGTGTTTTTTAAATTAAGAAACCATTTGCAAAGAAGTGTTCAAGTGTTCTAAATTAAGTGTGAAAATAAGGTGTGAATATATATGCCAAAAATACATCGAGTATACATATACAAATTAAATCCACATATTCATGCTTTTCTTATCTTTGCATGCTATTTATTGTAAAAGTTAACACATTAGATGTTTCACCATATATCTGAAACATATTTTAAACATTGTTTTGCTCCTTTTTGGTGTACACGAATACTATGTGACATCTATCAGAATGACTCTAAAAGTTGTGTTGCCGTGTAAACAGTTTTACAAGTTGCCACACACAGAAAACTCCCTTTGGGGTGACTTTTGTCATCATGATGGAGATAAAGCGTCAGCATTGAGCAATATATCTCCCATTGCGGACCACACATAACAGCAAAAGCCTGTTGACGCCTGAGGGTTTGGCAAAAGCCCAAAGCATCTTCCCCAGAGCCACGATGCCTTCATCTGGCTGCAACATTTTTCAATGATAACACTGCAGAGCTCTCCTCGAGGGAGGCATGTTGCATTTAATGGTGGTGTTTAAATGGTTCTGTCAATGCACTTGCCAAATCCACTCACTTTAGTGCAGGGGGGCTGCAGTGTGGAGGAATGGCTCTTCAACTCCAGAAAAAAAGTGACAGTTCAGCTTTAAATAAAGAGTGACTCCAGTTGTTTCTCAGGAAAACAGATTACTTTGCACTTCTGATGTATTTTGGCAAAGTGTGGAACTGGCTACTGCGTGAATAAAAAGTACTTATTCTGCAGGGTTATTTATAATTGGTCCCTCTGAGCAATGTTAGGGCAGTTTAGTTTTATTGGTTACATCTAACTCTTAAATAAACTTCTATACATCAAGAATTTAGTGTTTTTAATTTGTTGGGGCTTAGCTTTTTTTAATAAGCTACTTTTTTTTTATTAAAAAAAAATGTTCCACTACGAATCATCGTTGATTCAAATGTATATTTAAAGGTTGGTTACAGCACAAGTGACGATGCACATCACATTTCGGCCACGATCACAACAGATGTTTTCTTACGTTACATCCGCATCATGACAAACATCTGGACCTGAAATGTATATTGGCGCCAACGGGTCTATACGCTGATAACTTATCGAAATATTATTTTTAATTAAGTTTTTCAAGTTAGATATATTGTAAAAAAAACACTATATTATTTAAAGTAAATGTGTACACAAACTCACTTTTTTTTTTGTTAATTCTCTCTTGTGGGTCTACAGTCTACTTCGTCTGCTCAATAAAATAGTTTTATTTTCTGTTTATGCCCTCGCTTCTCATAAAAAGGACAGTAAATGGATTGTTTTCTTTAAACAGTTCTGCATTTGCAGTGCTACAGATCGTCGCCCGACATAAGGCTGCAAAGCTTTCGTTTTAAATGAATGCTATTACTCGGGACGTCCAAGCACTCTAAACGCTCATTTTAAATGTTTAAATTCGTAACTTTCTTTTATTATGAATGATGGACAAATTGAGAGTTCTTGGCCTATAAATAGATATATTTATTCAAATAAATGTTTGTTTCCTTAGCAGTGGAATAGTTTAGCCCGTCATTAGTTTATTAATTTATCATTTAAAAAATAACTTAAAAAAACGCAAAAGACACAATGTAGCCTATACTTCGCATTAAAACATCGAATTAAAATAGTTATTTTTTCCCTAATAGAGTTTGGATTATTGTGTACGTGCGTCTCTGCTCTTTCCTCGCTGACTTCTGAATATTAGAATAATTCATGACCTGCCTGTATTTGTCAGTGATGAAATTAGTTTTGCTTTCTCTGGACTAAAACAAACTGCAGCTGCAAGCCATGGAGAGCAGAGCCCTGATGCTGCGGCTTCAGGGTGAACTTATAAACTTCTATGTGCATACGTCATGATCAGAAAAGATAAATGGGAAAACATCGATTCAAAAAAGTTTAAAGAGCTTCCTTAGTTCGCAGGACACATCTCGTATAAAGGAAATCATTTGCTTTTATAACGCGACATTTAAAGCCCAGTTTGGAATCACAGGGTAGGAAATCTTACTTTCCCTGGAATATATTTCAAATATATTTTTGTGACTAAATCGATTGTGTCTATTAATGACTAGTTATTCCAAGCAAATGTTATCTGAATTTCGAAAGGTTGTGTATTCTGCAAATGGTGGACAAGGAGTATTTTTTTCTTGTTTTAGCTCACAGTTGCCATCGGTAGTTTTTTAATAAAACGTAACTCAAGTTACATATGATGTGATTTTTTAATAAGTTGTGTTCAGTTTTTTTTATGCAAGTCCTGGTGGGTTTACCCTCTCCTCCTCTCTGCTTTTCGCTCACACATAATTACCTTCACGTTCAATATTTCACACTACAGTCCGTTTCCATTAAACCTGCCAATGTCCCCTTTTTTCCCACATTTCCGTGAACCTGATCTCGATATGTTGCCTCAGTTTAAATTCAGTGTTTCTCTCATGGCACTCACCATAGCAGGGGATGAGGCTCCCGTTGTGTCCGCTGTCCGCGTGCAGCTTGCTTCCTTCGGGCGGAGTTTTGCAGCTCGGTCTCTGCAGGAAGAGCTGGTATTTGTTGAAGCTGCCCTCCTCCGAGCCGTCCAGAGACTGGCACTCGGTCTGGAAAGGACTGCGGGACTTCTCTCCGTAAGCCTGTCCTTTCCCCGGGATGAACGTGGGGCTGTATTTGGTCTCAGAGCTCGGGAAAGTCCTGAACGGGTTCGCCTGGTGATCCCTACCCTGCGGAGTGGACGTGCTATAATATGAATCCATCGATGTCATATCGCAGTATGAGACGCACGCTGCGTTCATACCTAAAAAGTTATATTAAAAAAAAAAATCCTCACGGTTCTTCTCTCCCTCCCCTTCGGTATAGACGGCAGATATTCTCTTCCCAAATACTCATGCACTGGCAAACTCACACTGACGCGCTCATGCACACACACTCTCACGCTGCCGCATCTGGGACTGGTTAAAAAAATGAATCAGATGTTTTCCAGAGACTGCAGACTGAACAAATGCTAAAAGCCCCCTGAAGGTTTGTCGGGGTAAATAGAAATGCCTTGCTCAAGCTGATGCCGCCTCAGTAGCCTACAGTGAATCTGACACACACACACACACCACTCCACACACATCTGAAGTATAGGCCCACATCGAGCTCCAGTCTGTGCTATTATGCAGCCTGCAGAAATGGGAGGTCAAGCTAAGAAGGGGCAAAGCTTTTTTGGTAAACACGCGGGAGACACAACACATGACATTAATGCAATTAGAGGATGAATATAACTGCTTTGATTCCGACTGATGCATGGCTGAACACAGCAACCTTTGACTGCTCTTTGTATCAAACTTGAAAGCATATACAAAAAAAGTTGTTTCCATATCTGTCACGAGAGCCACGATTCGTTATGTGTTAAAGGTAAATCCAATGCCTCCTGCATGCAGAAATAAAAGGATCAAGCCGGGAAATTATGCCCAATAACAGTGCTTAAAGTAAACCGCGTTATATTACATGAATATTTTCTTTGTGGATTTGCTTTAGTGAGCCAAATTAAACCAAACAACGTTAACCGTTTGACATTAAGTGAGAAGTCTGTCAGTGCGGATATATCCACTTATAGTGATGGACAATTAGAACCCATCAACGAAAACAACTTTGAGCCGTGCAATCTAAGAAATTGCCCACTTCTTAATATTAAATTAATTATAATCCATTAGGTCTATGATGCTCATTAAGGTATTTCGCTTCGTGCACTTTCACAATTTGGTAAAACGACTTCGCGCCAGCACTTTGCTGTTTCTTGGCATGCATAAATATCTGAATTAAAGCCATTTTAGGAAACAAGAGATCTTTATGCCTGTCGAAAGGTGAATTGGACAAATAACCTCAAGTCAAGTCCGTAATACATTTTCTCTTGAAGCCATTTTCGAGGTTCATAAATGACGAAAAATTTGGAAAATATATCATAATTCTGACATTATACATGCTTTATTATTAGTTTAGTTATATACATTTCTGATTAACACCGTGTTAAATACAGTTCATTATTATTGCATCTAAATAATTAAGCACCACGTTAATTATTGTTATCAGTATTCTTTTTAAATTGCCTGACTTATATTATAAATGGTTGAAACGAAATATTTCTTAACTTTCTTAACTGCGGCTCTCAGGCCTAGTTTAATTGAGTATCCAGGCGGACATTTCACTCCGCCCACGCTCTCTCTCTTTCTCTCCCTCTCCCTCTCTCCCGTTCTTATCTTCCGGTATAATTAACTCATTAATTATGACTCGAGACATAACTCGTGTCTTGTCTCTGTTACACAACATTGTATCGGCCACATATGCAATCCAACATAACCCAGAATTCTTAAAATAAAATATAACTTTGAAAAATCAAAGCTCTATTTTAAGATGCGTTTTGTTTCACTTTCCAAAAAGCAAACGTCTTTAAGCAGCTATTAAGTTCAAATGAGATCAAATAAAATAAAATTGCTCAGTTATAAATACAAATTGAATAAACAATTTACTGGTTTGGGCCTCGTGCATGTATGGTGAAGTCTCGTTCTCCACCGGCACCTCTCTCGCTGCGCAGGTATTCATTAACGAGATTTACAACTATTCTTCATTGGTTTATTAGAAAATGTCTCCTAAGAGCTTTTTCCAGTGTAACGTAATGAGTCTAATTTTGGCTGAGATATAGGCCTATTTTATGTTTTTTTTTAATATGAGGAGCTGTTTTTATTTATTCTTGGTGTTTTTGCTCTTATTGCTGATGTTTATTTTAGTCTAAATTAACACATTTTTCATTATTTATGCATTCTTTCTGTGTAGATAAGTTTAGCTTTTTTGACTTTGACTTTATTATCTTCACTTCATTATCATTATTTATTTGTGATTGACACAAAAAACTAAGACATGTTTCTCTCTTTGTTAGTTTAATCTGTGTATTTGTACAAGGACTTAAGTACAAATATCTATTAGTTTTCACAAAAAACAAATTGATGTTGCCTTGATTTATAAATAATCCCTCTGTTAGATTTATTCAGATTTTTATTTGAGCACAAAAAAAATCAGCTTTCCAAATTTCATCCAACAATTGGTATAGAAATGATGAGATGTAGTTATACTTCATTTAGCTAACATTAGTGCACAGGACATTTCAGTAGACCATACTTTGCACAAGCATTTATGAGAACATTTGCCTTCAAATTTGCATTTATTTTTTTGCTTTTATTTCCTCCTCAAAAGTTAACAATCCTGCAGGAAAAGCATTTTGAGATAAAGTGTCACGTTAAAGAAAAAGTCAACGGTTGTCACACAGCTAAAGAATCAGTAATGACAGACTTGTGCTCTGAGCGCAGCATATACTACATGCAGGCCTCCCTTAATATAAACCACTCCACTGCTACAGGCTAAAGTCTCAGCTGTCACAGATATACATCACTCATGCGTGGCATTCTCGCTAAAAGGTTTCCCGTTAATGACGGCTTGTCTATTTAACTTCCAGCAGGATCCGTGTCCAGGTATTGGCTGCTGAGAGGACGGGCAGCTCGGAGCCTCCGGGGTTTATATTGGCACCGGCCTCGTGTGTATCAGCAACAGAGACCCTGAACCTCCTCCGGCGTTCGGTCTCTCTATAAGAGGCGTGGCGGAGAGGGTAATGGGCTGGAGAAAGTGCTCTAGGTTAGACTTTGTATCTCAGCCATGCCTTGTTCAGTTAGTCTGTGGGAAAGGCCAGGCATGGGAGATGGGAAACACGTAACCTATGGGAACATTTGCTATGTTCGGATATGTTGATGTGGCATTTTTGTCAGAACAGTACTGTTGGAAGATGTACCCAGATCTTTTACTTCAGCCAAAATACTGATACCACAGTGTAGAAATACTCTGTTACAAGTAAAGGATTCATTTCAAAATGTAACTTAGAAAAAAGTTCTTAAGTATCAGTATCAAAAAGTAAAGGATATACAGAGTGGTTTTTAATTTTAAATTATTCATGCGTACTGTTGCAGCTGCTATGGGAGAGCTTATTGTAATTACTTTGTATACTGCAGGGTAGCTTAACTTTCATGAATATTTGATAATTTATTCTAAATGTATTCTGTTCCGACTATCTGCAAAGTAACTGTTGTGAGATTACTGTTTGAGTAAAAGTGCAATATTTCCCCTTGAGGTGTGGTGAGGTTGATGTATACAAAAGCATACATTTGGGGAACAAAGGACAGTATTTGAGTAGCCTACATCTATATCTTTTTGTACCAGTGGAAAACAAGACATAAATGTAAACAAACTATTATGATCAAAGACTTTATCCATGTAAGATTTCAATTAAATGGTCACGTCATTCAGCAGGAACACGTCACAGCCCTAAGAGCAGCTGAAACTTGAGTTGGACTTGAACCTTTTTCCTGTAATGCCAAGTTTCACTCCTAGCCTGGAATTTTATAGTATTAGAGGAATGTTGGGCATTCATAAACCAGTTGCGTCTCCTCACGTCCCGGCTGCAGATCAGATCCCTCGCTTTCATTTGTCCCAAAGTCTATTTTGGGATGTCGTTACTGCTCTGGTCCTCTTTGCATGCTGATTCCTGCTGTACTGTCCCTTCTCTCTTTCTCCGTCTCCTGTGTCTGTTATGTTAAAGGATATTTTCAGAGTCCATACATTGAATCAGTTTTTGACGCTGTATTTGTTTTTTTCCCATAAGATAGAAAACAGCCCTGTGTTAATAATGCTGCATTTGTGGGGGGCGTGTTGTTTTAAGTAACAGTGAGACAAAGAAATATGATCCAGGAGGGACATTTTCTTTATGCATCTGTGGGTTTGAAGGCTTATTAAAAGCTGAAGAACTGCACAGTTAGACAGGCTTTTACAACTCTGGGTAGTGAATTGTTTTAGATTTTGTTTCGAGGTAGAAAAATGTACAGTATCTATGTCCACCAGCAATATGTACTTGCATGTACTTTACTAATCACACAGTATTTCAAGTAAATGTTTACATGTTTTTACAAACTCCAATACTTTAAATATATTATTCTGTGAAAAGTACTGTTACTCTGATACTTGAAGTACATTTACCTGATAATAGAGTGGTGCAGGGATGACGTATTTACCCGGAAGTAAACTGCGCATGGGTTCCCTCGACAAAAAAGCAATGGGATTTCCCCATAGGATTTTGGAAATAAGGTCTGTGGAAAACAAACCTGTTTGATAAATACACGTTTTGTTCAGACGGATAATCTCCACATGTCTACCCTACTTTTATAATTTTCAAATCATAAATATAATCGCCAGAAGCAAAATGATAACGTTATGCTATAAACGAACTACAGCCGAGTACAGCAGGGTCGCACGACTTCAACGTCACGCCAATTTAAGATCGATATTAAAAAATACAGATTAAAAATTGTACAAGTTGAAGCGTTTCCTTTAACAGTTTGCAAGAGCGCAGGTACTTGCTCTCAAGCAGAACAGGGCAAACAAACTTAGCGGGAGTGTTTACGTGTTCGGCGTAATGACGTACAACGTCCTCGACAACTTCTGTAGTCCTATTCAGCCACTTGTTAACAAGCATCGTTTTTCAGACACGTAAACTCTTCAAATATCCCCAGTGGGGTCACTGCCGATGTATTTAATGTCGTAGAACAAAACGTGATCCGTCTCTTAAATCTGTGTCAACCACAGACCTATTTTCCCAAATCCTATGGAGAAATCCCATTGACTCTGAGACGAGGGAACCGGTAGTGGTAAAATGCTAACTCACTTCCGGGTTTTAGGACTCGTCACTGCACCACTCTATACTTCTGTACTTTATTGAAAGGGGTCATTCAGG